TCGTATTGTTTATTTCCCGTCTTAGTTTGATAATGATCGTGAGCCGCAATGTTAGTACCGAGTAAGCTACGTGGCGGTGATCAGACGTTATAGGTCTACATCATATTAGCCTAGAGGTCTTTTATTTGAATTCCACCACAGCCGCCAAACTTCTACTGTTTCCGTATGCCCCTGGTTGCCCCTAATTAGCCTTTCGGAGAATGGTTATGATCGTCCGTTCATTAAAAAAAGTTGAATGCTATCGATACTGGCTGCACAACCAATTGCTTCTCGCCTAACAAACATCTTACTTGGGGTTTCTCCATTTAGGCGTATTATGCCTGCGAGAAGAACGAAGATGCCGCCGCCAATTTCCTTCTCAGCGAGGGTCTTGATGATGAAATGGTTTGATCGCTCCCTTCATCTCCCCATTTCCCTCGTCTCTACCCGACTGCTTCCACCCGACCCCGGCTCGCCCGTGTACTAAAGGTTGCGATGTTTTATTTTTCCTCCCAGTTATCACGATATACGCCCTCAGTACACACTTGTGGATCAGTCTCATCCGATCTTAAATGTCCCACCCTAACTCGTCCATCCTCACCATCTTGTCGCTGGTGTGTTCGCTTTTGTTTACTGGCGCGACTAGCCCGTGTGTTCTGCATCCTGCCTACTGTTCTCATTCTCCTCTTTTCCACTTTTGAATCACACTAGGTAACGATGTGCAAACAATTTGATGCCTGTACACACCATTGCCTCGTGACACGCACACATGCACATGCTTATCTTGTTCTCACTTGTTTCCATTAGTTTGATGCGGCCTCCGCGGTTCCATTCCGCTGTTTTTTGCCCGTCATGTAATGCAGTCACTCAACCAACTGCAACACACTATTTGAGATTATTTTGGATCGAACCTCGACCAGTAGTTTCTGCTCGACGGCAATGCCCGCTGCGTTTTGTGGTCTACTGGCATGTGACTCATTTACACAAATACACATCTATGAAAAAATTTGTGTTCACTTTTGGTCATATAATTGCGATCTCGGATGGATTCTCATCACTTGCTATTCGTTGCGATTCAAGTTATGAAACGAATATTGCAGAATTCCAGTGAGGTTTCCATTCATACAATCAGTGTGAATAGCATCAGAAGCTTCTGGCACACTACTGAAATTAGCAGAATCCTGTGCTTAGTCGTTTAAACATCGAGCGGGTTGTGTGAGACATTTCTTTAACCGTAGGCGTGAAATAATGGAGATGCAGTTTTATTGTTTGGCTTTCGATTCACTTCGACCACACATCGATTTTATTTATTGCACCCTCTAGCCACCGATAAATTTGTTTATAAAAGTGATACAGTTCAAAATGAGCTGACCATTTTTGTTGATTGTGCTACTTTTCAAACTTCGTTTCCACATCTGTTATTTGTTATGTAACCCATCTAGAATGGCACGGTAAATGGGATTGGTCAATGTTTCAGTGCAATAATTGAGCTTTCGTCTTGTTTAGCACGTCGGTGAAGTGATTTAGCTTGAGATACGATTCTCCTAATGGCTACTTTAAGATTGCTTCCAGAAAATTTCTTCCTACCTGAGGCTGAGTGGGCTTCATAGATTTTTCCATCTAGAATTTTGCGAGTGAGGCGTCCTGCTTGATTAATTGGTGAATTTCATGGTGCATAGAGCAAACAGGACGATTTAAAGACCCAGAGACGTGTCAGGAGTAGTCGGGCTCGGAATGTTTTTGACCAAGTGATCCGTGTGGCTAATGCTGAGCCGAGCGGGAGATGCCTGCAGCAAACTTGACAAGATAGGTGTGATATATCTTTTATATTTGGATTGGTTGACCTGTGGTTAAGTGGGTAGTATGCTTGCTATCTGTGGGGTTCAGTTAATATTCCGAAGGGAAGCAACATCTTAAGATTTGCTAATATTTTCTGCACATGCGCCAACCAAATGCACAAAATTGAACTTGACAACTTACCGAGCTCGTCCAACGTAGCCGCAGCTCTATCATTTGTGCTTGCAGCTTGGAAAACGGTGCATCCGATACCTGGCTGGTCACCCCGCCCCTACACCGTGGAGCCCTCCTATAGGACATGTCGCCTCATATAGCCTCTGCCGAGGAAGTCCTATTCACTACCTTCCCGTTGCAAAAGTGTTTTTCCACCGAAGTGAGAACCCAACATCTGAGGTTATAACCGAGTTGGTGAACTGCTGGCAGTTTCCCTAAGGGAGTTGGCTAAAAACCCTGATTCCAAACTAACCAAGAGAACGCGTATGTCTCACCCACCCACACTTTCGTTGTTGTGTCATTGATCACCGGCTCGATTGGGCATGGAGGTGCTTGACCCCGTCCGAAAGGCGCATGATCCGATGAGCTAGATTTCAACCCCCCAGTGGTGTGCGAACTCTGAGCTCCTTCTTGCAGGGCCTCCCTTTTAAGCCAAAAGCTTCAGACGCTGACCCCCGAGGTTATCCATCTTCCACGGCCAGGTCAACCGGGAAATAACACCCACACAAATTATGAACACATTCTACGGATTTCTCTTCATATGTCGTGACCAATTTGCCAATTCTATATAATTGGTTACGTATCTAATATAGATGGAAAACGATCAGAAGCTCCCGATAAGCAGGATCAACACGGAATACGGTCAGTCGTGAGCCCGCAATTCGGCGAATCCTAGCGAGAGAATAAATTTAGTCGTTCCCTTATGAGCAAGAACACTTCTGTGTAACTACAGCAGGATAGTATGTCTAGTACAGCTCTTGTTCGTGTGACTACTGCCCTGATGCAAGAGATCTACGTTTTTGATTTTTGTTCTGCAACTTCAGCACACCCCGCAATACAGTCAAAAGCTGAAGAGGGAACAGATAAAGCATGCCCGCAGAGTAAGCGATAGGATACACTAAAGCGATTCGATGTAAACGAAACAGCGAAAGTATACTGCGAAATTATGTTCCATTTACCAGCCACTCGAGGAGTTCACAGCAATCCATCTAACATGAAGATATTGTAATGACTGCCAAACATTGTGAGAAAAACACCGACAAACACTCCTGTTGACGTTTGTGCATCCATTTGTCAATATACCAAGAATTCTGTCAAAATGTTTTGGAAAATAGATTCATTGCACATTGAGATGATTGTGCCGAATGTGACGGCCATGCAATACCGAGTGTTCC